CATAGATTGTCTAGGACCAAATCCCTCCTTGCTTTCTCTCTTTCCCCTTCTCTACTTCCCCCTACCTTGGCCCTGGGGATAATCCAAAAACGATCTTCAATCCATGAGAGCGGGTGTATGTCCTCACTTGAGAGTGGGGCTAGTCTACGAATTTGTTCAAGTGCCATTGGTTTATCATTAGATAAAATTGACTTTTTTATCCATTGTATAGCAAAGGCTTGGTACTGCAGATTGGGATTAAGAATCACTAGACCCCCCCATAGATCTGGGTTGAATAAAAAAACGTCAGGCTACTCTAGGGATTACCTTATCCTGTTCATGATTCCCCCTCCATAAAAACGTTGTGACCTGCTTCTGTAGGAGTTTAGTACGTGCATTACTTATGGACCACAGTGCCGATTTATACCAAATGGATGCCAGAATAACATTGTTGATGATAAGTGTTCTTTCAAAAATGGAAGTATGCTTGTTCTTCCGCTGGATCATCTTGTCAATCGCCGATTTTTTACACCCATTCATCATGAGTCATGGGTTTCCCGACTGCCGTAAGGGAACCTCCAAGAATGCAAACTGGGGCTTCATGTGGCAACCATCTCACTCTAGGGTGTTCAGGGGGCCTATCCCCAGCGGATTGAATCCACCACCCTTGAGTTTTATTGCCCCAATTGACCACCATATCCGAGACTTGTGAAAATTTGTCCATCAAGGCTTGAATTTATGCCATATTGTCATTTGTGGCGTCCACCATAACCGTAAGGTCATCTGCAAACATGGAGCAGACTGGAATAGCTTCCTCTGGGATACCAGAGATGCGCAGACGCTTTAAATTACTGTTAACCCTAAGGTTAGCTCCTAGTGCTTCCATAATAATAACAAAAAGGAATGGCGTCAGGGGGTCTTCTTGCCTCACCGATCGTTGTAGCTTGATCTCAAGAAAGAGAAAACCATTTACCTGGATTCTAGTCGTAGCATTAGTATGAAGAATACGAATCCATTTTTGGAAATTGAGACCAAAATTCATTTTTACTAGTCAGGCCTCCAAAAAACTCCAATCTACGTGGTCATAAGCTTTTTCAAAATCAATGAAAATGAAGGCTGCATTTTTTTTCGATTGTCTAGACAGTTTAACCATCTCGTTAATAAGCAAAATATTGTCTTTAATATGCCTACCATTATAAAACCCGTTTGCGAAGGGTGAATGATGTCAGCCATTACTGGAATCAAACGATTGGCTAGCGCTTTAGCTAACATTTTGTACACAACAGAAAGCAAAGTGATTGGTCTATAGTTCCTGATGTTTGTTTTATCTCATTTTTTATATAGGAGAGTGAGAATGCCCTGACGCACAAATTCCCCCATCAGACCTGATTCTTGTATTGAATCATAGATGTCCATCAGATCAGATGCGAAAACTCGCCACATGGTTTCCCAAAATTCTTCAGGAAGTCCATCTACTCCAGGAGCTTTGTCCTCATCCATTTATAGAAGTGTTGTCCATATTTCATCCAAACTTAAGGACCCGCTCACCCCCGTTCACCGTTCACGGGCCCGGTGAACGCGGGCCAGTCACTGGTCACGGAAAACATGACCGATCGTAGTTCACGGAGTTCACGCAGAGCGCGAACTCCATTTTTTTTTTTTTTCCGCTGGTGGGGGGGTGTTTTTTTCCCATGGGTGTGTGGTCGATGTCAATGGGCACCTGGCCATTTTTATTTTTATTTTTTATTGATCAGAATATATTTTTAAAATTTTTTGAAAAAAAATAGAAAAAAAAAAAAAAAAACCGAGTTCGGCTGTATTTTTTCAACTTTGTTACAGCTTCCGTCGTGTGTACCCCCAATGTGAGGGTGTTTTGGGGCCGTACAGAAACCCAGCAAGTTAGCAACTGAGTACATCTTGCGCGGTGCAGGCGCCATACAACCCAAAAAAAAAAAAAAAAAAAAAA